GCAATGGCTGAACGAGTGAAAGATAGACATGGGTATGAAGTGAAGGCTGATGTGAAATTACATCAAAGTGACCGATATCGGTCTTTAATGACCATGTTTAGAGCAATAGCGAGTAGAGCCGTAGAAAGTGAAGAAACTTATCAGTTGTTAGTTTCAAAAGGTGAAGAATTGAGTGTAATGGTAAGAGAAAAATTAAGTCTCCACATTTGTGGTGAAGTGGAGGTAACTGATTTTAGAAATTCGTCAAGCAACGCATGCCCACAGAGTGATGAAGTAGATTGTCCAATCCAAGCTAAGGAACTGAAGAAAAGAGAGTCAAGTAGTGAGGGAAGAAGGAGGATCAAAGGCGGGAGGGAAAAATCTATTGCAAAGAAGAAAAGGATGCAATCTATTCAGGTTTGGACATCAAAAATTGCATATGATTAAAATACAGTTTTCTTTTAAACTAAAACATTGATTTTATTTGGTTTTTCGTTGTATGTAGGGTGCCGCTGATTATACTCCCCAATGTGAATCTCATCCTCATTTCGACATGGGTAATAATTCTATTCAGGTAATATTTAATAGTAATGTGGTATTTTATGGTTAGTTTTATGACTTCCTTTCATTAAGTTCGTTCATTATATTGTTAATTGTTGTTATCTTTAATTGGTTTGCTTGGCAATGTAGTCGGGTTGTACTGTTTACACTTCCCAAGGTGAATCACAACGTCATTTCATCATGGGTGGTAATTCTATTCAGGTAATATGTAATAGTAATGTGGTCTTTGTATGGTTAGTTTTATGAATTCCTTTCATTAAGTCCGTTCATTATATGGTTAGGTTTATATCCTTTCATTGGGTTACTTGGCATTAAATTTTTTTAATCTTTAATTGGTTTGCCTGGCAATGCAGTCGGGTGTTGCTATTTATACTTGCCAAGGTCAATCACAATCACAATCACAATCTCATTTCATCATGAGTAGTAATTCTAATCAGGTAAAATGTTAAATAATGACCATGTTTTTTAGTAGAATATTTTGTTTACATACTTTATATTGGTTGTATTTAGGACCATGCTCTTGGTGTCAATTTTTCTCAATCACAACCTCATTTCGTCATGGGTATTAATTATAATAAGGTAATATTAATGTTCAATAATGTTTATTTTGTTTTTAAAATTTTTTGGTTACATACTTTATATTGGTTGTATTTAGGGTCATCATCATGATATGTACATTTCTCCATCTCAACCTTGACCTCAAGTTCTTATGGGTGGTACAAGTGGTCCTCTTCTTACGTATGGTACATATGATGTGAATTATAATTTGTGACATAGTTTACATTTAAAATGTAGTATACATTGTAATCAAAGTTGAATAGATGGTTTGGTATATTGCAGGGACATAACACGCCTCAGTCAATGCCTTCTGTGTATCCCACTCACAGATCTTTTCAGGAGTTGCTTCAAGGTACAAGTGTTGAAAACTTTGCAATCCAACTCTCGTAAGTGTCACATAGTCCTGCTGACAGTCATGTACATGGACATCCTTGAGAAGTTTATTTTATCTTCATTTGTTTTGGACAGATGTATTTTGTGTTGGACAGATTTATAATGATCTGGACAAATTTGGACAGTTTTCTTTTATTTTGGACAGATTTGGTGTTATGTATGTTGGACAGATTTGGTGTTATGTATGTTAGATAGATTTGGTGTTATGTATATTAGACATATTTGGTCTTATGTATGTTGGACAGATTTGGAATGATATGGACATCCTATGGACAGATTTCTTTTATTTTAGACAGATTTGGTCTCATGAATGTTAGACAGATTTGGTTGTGTTATTTTGTGTTGCACAGGTTTATAATGTTGTGGACAGATATGGAAATAATCAATCTGGACAGATTTCTTTTATTTTGAACAGATTTGGTCTCATGAATGTTAGGCAGATTTGGTTGTGTAATTTTGTGTTGCACAGGTTTATAATATTGTGGATAGATATGGAAATAATCTAGACAGATTTCTTTTATTTTGGACATATTTGGTCTCATGAATGTTGGACATATTTGGTTCTGTTATTTTGTGTTGCACAGGTTTATAATGTTGTGGACAGATGTGGAATAATTTGGACAGATTTTTTTTTTTTTATTTTGGGCAGTTTTCTGCACAGACTTGAATTTTGGATAGATTTCATTTGTGTTGGACAGATTTGGTTGTGTTTTGGACAGCTTTGGTTGTGTTATGTTGTGGACAAATTCAATACCTGTGCAACAGATTTCATTTCTTTTATAATATAATGAATGAACAAATATAAAATGAAGACAGATTTGGACAGATTATGTTGTGGGCAGATTTCATTTCTCTTGGACAGATTTCACAGGTGAAGAACAAGTATGACCTGACCAACAATAATAATATAAAATAATGAAATCTGTCCACAACATTATAAAATAATGAAATCGTCAAGCATAGGTAATTTCAAGTAATGTCATTGACAGAAACAAAAAAGAAACGCATCACATTCGTCAAACATAGGTAATTCCATTAAGCTTTAAATATCAACATTCATAATTTAAGGTTTACAACATTCAAAACCCAAATACATCCACCAAAAAAACAAAAAAACAAAAAACTAAAAAACTAACTAAAAGGTTACATTCACTTCATTAGTGATATTAGCATGGTAAAACCAATCAACACTATGGTTGTGAACATAGACAGTTTCATCGCTTCTTGGTTTGCTTCAACTCGTTCCAATCTATTGATAATTTCATTGAGTTTGTCAACATCATAATCATAGCCTCTCTCATCTTCATTCTTCATATGACTAGCTTTACTTTCCTTTGGATATTTGATGCATTCCCAGTCGAAGCCGCTCCCCACCCAAAGTACTCGCACATCCTATCTGCACACTTGAAATACAGCCTCCCTGGATTTTTCTCTGATTCCGATATGAACACTGCAGCTTTTTTTCCACAATTGCATCTTCTATTTTGCAAATATCCAGCATCAATGTTTGAACCCGTTGACATGATCCTAGTAAGAGCATTTTATGATACAATCAGTCCATTACAACTTAAGACAACATTCAAATAAAGATATAAAATAAAACACTAATCAATGATATAATAACCATTTGTCTAATAAACATTGTCATTTTCATGTTCATGTTCATTCCTAGTTCATATATATAGTTCATGTTCAAACCAGTAAAATAGCACACTGTTGTTTATATGCATTGTCATTATTCATGAACACACTGTTGTTTATAGCACACTGCTGTTCGTATGCATTGTAAAATAGCACACTGTTGTTCAAACAATTCAGATCAAACAGGGCAGTCCAAATTCAGATCAAACAGGACTGTCCAAATTTAGATCAATCAATTCAAATCAAACAGGGTAGTCCCATTCATTTTCAAATTCAGGACTCCCATTCATTTTCAAATTCAGGACTCAACCATTCATTTTCAGTCCTCAAAGTTCAGGACTCCCATTCATTTTGAGAACTCAAACAAACCAAATTCAGGACTCAACCATCGAAATTTAGTCCAAAAGTGTCAAAAATTGAATTCCTCAATCATTCTGTTGCCATATAAAAGGAAAAAAATCTGAATCATTCTGTGTCAAAAGTGTCAAATAAAAGGAAAAAAAAAATTCATTTTTAATAGTAATGTGGAACCCAGATTAAGGAAGGCCAGATTAACACAATCATTCTGTGGAACCCAGATTAAGGAAAATTGGACAAATGTTTCTTCATACTATGGAACCCCCTTTAGGCCCAGATTAATGTCATTATTCCAATAAATTGGGAATAAAACAAATGTTGAACATATTAAGTAGTTCAAAAATTGGGAAAAAATTGAACTAGTTCATATACATAGTTCATGTTCATATACGTAGTTTATGTTCAAAAATTGGGAATAAATTCGGAATAAGACCAAATCAACAAATTAACACAAAAAAAAATTGGAAAAAAATTGAACAGAAATAACACCAAATCTGTTTCAACAACAAATCCATCAAACTCAACATAAATCAGAAGCATCTATTGGCAACAAAATCATATTAAAAAAAAGTAAAAAAACACGAAGGGACGAAGGGAGAAAATGAGAATGAAGAGATCTGGACCTCGTCGTCGTCGGCTGCCGCTTCCCCACGCCTCACCGTTGTCTCTCATCTCCTCGCTGTAGTCGTCTCTATTCTCTATTCGTCTCACTAGGGTTCAACACCAGACAACAAAGGCTGAAGCAACATATAAACAACAAAGGCTGAAGAAAAAAAAAAGAATTAAAAAAAAAAATGGTCGAAAACGACGTCGTTTTCGACCACGGCAGGAAAGTATGGCAAAAGATCCAGACTCCTTAAAATTGGGATAAGATTTTTTTCATACTTGCATTTCTTCATATTCATTCATACTTTTCTTGTTGGTTTAAATTTAGATTTACATCGATAATTCAAACTGTCTATTTTATAAGTTTCATAATAAAAGTTATCTATGAAAAAAAATTATTTTATCGGACATCTATATATATAAGAATAAATCATATTTTATTTTATAAAATGAAAACAAATAAAATTATGACTTTAAACCATTTATTTTACAAAACAAAACATGAATTATTTTTATATTTATAATCATTCGATAAATTTAATTTTTTATATAAAACCTAATAAATTATTTGAATCATAAAAATGAATCTAAACTGAAATAAAAGAGAAATATGGAGACAAGATGTTTGGTTTGTTTTTGGAAAAAAATTCTCTACAAATAAATTTTTAAGAGTAATTAAACCAAATAAATTTTTTTAAAAAAAATCTTAAAATTTTGTTTGGTTTATTTCTTTCCAAAATCACTCTCTCTCATACATATCAAATCAATTACTTTTTTTGAAACTCTCTTCTCAAAATAATTTTTTAAGACCATTTCTAAAAAAGACAAACTAAACAAATATTCATACTTTTTACCTCAAAAATTACTCTAAAAACACAAACCAAACAAATCCGAAATATGGGGGCGTATTATCCCCTTAAAACCTGCCTCTTTCGTGCCGATTTCACCACTTGCTCAAAACTTCTAGCGTATATAAATATTTGCTTGCTTCTAAAACCTCCAACTTTATTTTTCCTTCTCTATCAAAAACATTTTCTCAGGAGAAAAAATATTCCAAGAAAATACGCTCTGTTGATTTTCCTTTTGTTAAAATCGATTTCGCTTTTACTCAAATCTCCAACATTTTCCTTCCAGAAAGAAAAGATTTTCTCGGAAAAGAAAGAAGATGTGTGGCGGTGCCATCATCTCCGATCTCATTGCGCCGTCGCGTAGTGGCCGGCTAACCGCCGATTTCCTCTGGCGCACCGATGTGAAGAAGAAGCCTAGCAGTCACTACTCCAAACTCTCGCGATCCGAGGTCATCGATCTCGGCGATGATTTCGAGGCCGATTTTCAGGGTTTCAACGATTACTCTGATGGTGAGAACGATGGCGTCAAGCCCCTCGCCTTTTCTGCTTCCAAGTCAGGGTTTTCTGATGGTAACAACCAATTTCTATCCCATTTCTTATTTTAATCGGTTCAAAATTGAAAATTTGTTTGTTAATTTTAGGGATCCAGCTCGATTTTGTTTCTTAGTGATATTTTTTCTTATTGCTGTAATTTCTGATGCCTTTCCTGTTTATTTCGATCGCTTTTGAGCTTGGCATAGAATTTGCTTATATTTTCTAGGAAAATACTCTCTGGGTAAATTTATTGGAATTATTTTTTGTAGCAAATAAATTGTCATGTGAGGATAATATGTAGGGGAAAAAAAGGTCTTCTTATGTCTTTGATGTAAATTTAATTTTAATTTCTCATTGATACAGAGACAGCCATAAGGCTACTTAATCTTGATGGGTTTTCCCCTGAAAAAGGTTTATCATGTCTTAACGAACTTGAGAAGAAATTTCTTTAAAATCTTGACTCGAAATAAATCAAATTAAAACTACCCTGCAATATTTATTTATTTTTTCCTGCTGATATATGATGACTTCAAAGTTGTCTCCAAGTAATAGTTGTTGTATAAAATTTAGATTATATTTTGGAAATTTGATTTTGTTTGTACAGAATTGTTTATTTTATTTATTAGCAGATCTTCTAATAATCTATGCTCGCCCAACTTGAAACTAGGGTAATTGGGTTTGTTTTTTTATCAGCGAAATTCAGTTGGTAGTTGTTAGATTAGCAGCAAATCAGGTTTTTTGTGTCCATTATTAGATCAAATGGCCTTCCATGTTTGTAGTATAGTTGCTAAATTCATTTTTTTTTTTTATTTTTTAAACTTAATATTGCATATCATGTTGTTTGAAGAAATAGTAGTGATGTTGAAGTTTTTATTCCCTGTCATTTATTTGTTTCCTGTCTTAAAAAAAGAAGAGTTGGCTTGGGGGATGGAAATAAGAAAGTTTATTTGTTGCCTTTAGATCATCGTCTTTCCTCAGATCATATCATTATTCATTGTCTTTCTTCAGATCGTATTGTTATTAATGATTATATATATTACGGTTTAGTCATTTGATGTTTAAATCATAGGTCTTTCTACAAATCGTATCGTTATTAATGATTATTGCTTTTATATATATTATGCTAGTCATTTGATGTTTAAATCATAGGTTTGAAAATATTTATTTCTTTCTTTCTTGTTACTGAAGGTCCTAGATCTGCAAAATCTGTGGATCTAAATAAGCAGGCTGACAAAGCTGGTAAGAGAAAGAGGAAGAATCAGTACCGAGGAATTCGGCAGCGCCCATGGGGTAAATGGGCTGCTGAGATCCGTGACCCAAGGAAAGGGGTCCGGGTTTGGCTTGGAACTTTCAACACTGCTGAAGAAGCTGCAAGAGCCTATGATGCCGAGGCAAGGAAGATTCGTGGCAAGAAAGCTAAGGTAAATTTCCCTGATGAAGCTCCATCTAATGCCCCAAGGCATATAATCAAGGCAAATACTCATAAAGTACTTGCCAAGGAAAGCCCAATCTCTGATCAGCCTAGCCTGAACAACAATTTCAATTTCATAAACAACCTAGATGATGATTACTACATGAATTTTGTGGAAGAGAAACCACAAACTAAGCCATATGCGCTTACCGATGCCTACCCTGCCTCTGGAGATGGTGGGCTCAGTTCATTTACCCCGTCAGAGGGTACTACTACCCTTTATTTTAATTCAGATCAGGGAAGTAACTCGCTTGGTTGTTCTGACTTTGGGTGGGGAGAATATAATGCAAAGACACCAGAAATATCATCTCTTCTTTCAGCAACTATAGAAGGTGATGAAGCTCAGTTTGTAGAAGATGCTAATCCTTCAAAGAAACTGAAGTCTAGCCCTGTAGATGTGGCACCTATTGAAGAAAATAATGTGAAGAATTTGTCTGAAGAGCTTTCTGCTTTCGAGTCCCAAATGAAATTCCTTCAGATCCCGTATCTTGAGGGCAACTGGGATGCTTCAGTGGATACATTCCTTGGTGGAGATGCAACTCAGGATGGTGGAAACCCGGTGGATCTTTGGACCTTTGATGATCTTCCTTCCATGGTGGAGGGAGTTTTCTGAGCAACCTTCCCGCTTGCTGGTTTTCTGTAAATAAGGCTACAAGTCAGTAATTTTCCTTGCTCTAATAGATTCTTGTATATTTCATCACATGCATTTCTTGGAATAGGATTCTTCGCAATAATCTTGCGATAATCAAGATTACATGTTTGTGTTTTGGGATTTAAACCATTCACTGAAACCACAATTGATTGTGTTTTGGGATTTTAAACCACAATTCGCAAGATTATTGCAAGAGTGATTATTACAAAGAATCCTAGTCCGCATTCCTGTTGGTTCATTCATTTTCTCTATGAAAGGATATCTAGCTTTATTGTAGGCTTTTTGTTTTTGTGTTTTTGTTTTCAGGTGTGTTTATTGTTGAAGTGGTGACAGACAGTAAACTATGCTCAAGCCATATATGGAGGGTGTGTTATCAATTTGGCTTTTGGTAATGTGGAGCAAGTAAATAGGTGCTTAGGTTTATTTTTATTTCAAGAATTTCTATTAGGATTTGTATTTTGATGTCTGTAAGGATGATGGCATGTGATGAAAATTAACTTTGACAATACCGACTTTGTTGTTTGTTCCTATGATTGTGGGTTCATGGTTCTTCTTACTTGATTCTTAGTGGTATATTTGAATGTTTTTATTACTCTTATTGTTATTTTGTTTGATTTGTAAACTTTTTGGGAGGGCATTTGGTTGCTCAAAATGTTTGCTTCTAGTAGGCTTTTGTACCTGCTTTATTTTCATTTGGCAAATAATGGTCTAGAGCATGCCTCTGAAATGTCTTCCAAGTAGCATATCACCTTCCAAGCTTGAATTTGTTGACTGAAGTGAGAAAACTCAGCCTCATTTGGGAACTTATTTTAGTTGATTTTTTTGCTTTTTGATTAGGGAAATGATTTGTAGCTCTAAAATCCTCACCCCTAATCCCCCTAATTTCCATTTCTGGCAACTGTTTCCTTTTTTTTTTTTTTTCTTTACTTAATATGGAAATTAGGGGGATTAGGGGGATGTTTTTTAGGGGATGTAGCATGACCCTTTTGATTATTCGTCATTTGAAAAGTTAGTTATTTTAGTAGGGTATTTTAATTTTTGGTTGTTTTAATAGGTTAAAATATTTGTATTTGAAAAGATGGTTGATTTTTTTTTTTTTTTTTTTAACAATTTTTTGATATTTGTGAGAGAAAAAATAAAATGATTATGAATTTGATGTGAGATTTTATTTTATTGTTTATTTTAATTTATTTTGTTTTTTGTGAATTTTAGTCCAAAAAGTTATTTATTTATTTTTTTTTTGTCAAACATGGCCATATGAGATGGGAAAAAATTATGGTGGAAATGCTTTGTGAATTTTTTTTATAATTTTTTTTAGGTGCAACGGAAATAATTTTTTTTTTATAAAAAAATAATTGAATAAATAATTGTGAAAGAAAAATAATTGAATAAATAATTGATTTTTTTTTATAATTGAATAAATAATTGTGAAAGAAAAATAATTGGTTGATGTGTAGGATGTAATATTTTGTTTTATTAGTTTTTTTAGTTATTATTTTTTATTTTTATTCACTATTTTAATTAATAAATAAAAAAAGTTCCCAATCCAAGCTTTCAAACACGTCTTGATTTTTTTTAATTAACTAGTGAAAAATTTTAATTTTTAAATTTCTTAAATTGTTATTTAACTGTGACAGAATTTGATAATTGCATGAAATCTTTGTGTTTTTGTATTTTTTTTTTCACTTTAGGTATTATAGTGAGAAATTTACCTTCAATTTGTAAGTATTGGAGCATCAGGCTTCTTATATTAGTTTTGAGGGTTATATTACACAAATAAGTTTCAAACACTCTTGTATTATGTTAGTTATAGCAAAATAAATCTTGATATTATTATAATACGTCGCTTGATGTAATAATGTCCGGTCAACATGTTATAAAATATTTTATTATTTACTTCAGAGAAAATATCACTTTTGTTTGTCAAAATTGAGTAATTTTCATCAAGTAGTCGATCATCTATCAAGTCGGTTATTCATGTTCTTTCTTTTGAGTTGTTTGGCAAGTTGGGTTTGAGCTATTTTTTAATTAAAATTTACAAAAAGATAAAATAAATTAAAATAATTAATAAAATAAAATGTCACATCAAATTCATAATTATTTTATTTTTTGTTTCATAAAAATTATATCTAACTACAAAAAAAATCTAATTATCTTTTCAAACACAAAAATTTTAACTTACTAAAATAGTAACTTCCCCCAAACACCCACTTCATTACTTTGTTGGATAAAATAAATAATTTATAAAATAGAGAGTTGGATAAAATGTGTACTTAACAAAAATATTAGATAAATATAAAAATAAATTTTTAGTTCTAATTTAACTTAAAATTTACTGAGTGATGCTTTTATAGGGTGAAAGATGTGAGCAACGCAATGGTCAATTTTGGTTGGACAGTTGAAGGGAGTGGGTGGTGCAGCTCATGCACGGAAAATGTCCCATTATAAGGTTGGTGGTCATGTGAAGGCAGAGAAGAGCTTTATTTATTTATTATTTATTAGAATCAATCAAAATAGGCCACCTACTTGCCGGAAGTCAGTGAGAGGGTTTGGTGGGAAAAAAATATTAAGCCTCCGTTTGGAAGGTGAATTAATTTTTTGACTTATTTATTTATTTTAATTTGGATTAAAAAATTTAATTTGGAAAGAATTTTTAAATTTTTTAATATTTTTTTAGAGAAGAATGTAATAATTATGAATTAGATGTGATATTTTATTTTTTGTGGTTAAAATAATTTATTTTGTCTTTTATGGCTAAAATAGCCAAACAAACCCCAAATAGCTCTTCCCAAATGGAGCTTAAGTATTTTTTAAATATTACGGCCAAGTTTGGAATGTTTTACAAAAAAAAAAAAAAAAAAAAAAAAAAAAAAAAATTAAAAAATTATTCTAAAAATTAAAAAGTTATCATTATTTTACTAAAAAAAAAATATTAAAAATTAAGTTAATACATAATTACATTTCGGACAGTTCTGCGGTCCAACAGGGAAGGCGACTTTTGGGGGAAAATTGCACGGTTTCAGGTGCACAAATAACACGGTGATGTTCGACTTGTAGGGGTTCATCATAGGTCATTTTTTAATAATATGAGCCGTTCAATATATAGAGCTCGTCGAGTAATGTATGCCTGTAAAAAATCACGTTGATAGGATATCGATAAATATATGATCAAATTAATTAAAATTTATAAAATAGATGGTGTTATAGTTAACGGTTAAAAAAAACTAATTCGATCAGATAACTATCGATATCCGATCAAATTGATTTTTTACAAGCATATAGTACTTGACGAGTTCTACATATTAACGATTTTGATTAGCAAAATAGGATCCATGGTGGGCCCTCACGGGCGGAATAACACCTAAGTTTGGCTAACCAATAAAAGTGCACTTATTTCATCTTTTTATCTTTTTTGGGTCACATCAATCAACATCTCCTCTCTACTTTTTCTACACATAATACAAAAAAGTCAAAAAATACACTTATTTAGTCTTCCCAAACTTGATCTTAATACCCAAAAAGCAGAGAATCATATCCCAAATACCCTCTGCGCACGCTGTCCACCTATTTCTTCATCGTAGTGCCCATTCCCATACATTAATTTATATAATTTTTTAATATATATTTTTCATAAAAAATTAAAAAATTATCCCAAATAATTATATTTTTTTCCTTAACTTTTTAGTCCAAAAATTTAAAAAGTACACTTATTTAGGACACTCCAAACAACCCTGTACGTGTTTATATTTTTTTTATTAATTATTGTATATTATATTTTTGGATAAATTATAAATACATACTTTTTAAGTTTTGATTAAAATACGAACCTTCTGTTGTAGTTTTAGAAATTACATTCATCCCTTGAGGCTTCTAATTTTATAATAAATCGTCATTTTTACTAATAAATCATTAAGTCAATTAACAATTTTTAATGATATTAGAAATATGTTTCAATTAATAATTTAGATAATTTTATTATTATATAGAAAAATAATTATAAATTTCATTTTTTTAGATAATTCTGTTAAATAAAAATGCTAACAAAGAGATATTTGTAATTTTTCAAATTATAAAAATAATCCGTACTTCAAACAAACTCTCAAACAATATATTTATAATATATCATATATTTTTTTATTATGTCTTTTAATAATTTATAATTTTGCAATACAAAATTATATAAATTTTTTATCTTCCATCAATTATAACATTCCTTTAAAATATCAAACACTAAATAATTACTCATTTGGTGGGTGGGTGCGTTGTTGGGAGAGTCTTGGAATGATTTGAGGCATATGTGGGTCCCATATATTCTTGGAGATTACACTGGCCTTGTTATATGAGCCCACTCACTCTCTCTCTCTCTCTCTATCTCTGCACAATGATCAAGCCCGACAAAAAGGGTAGAATAGTCCAACAGAAAAAATTATTTGGTGGTTTTGGTGAAAGTTTGAATACATATATAGAGGTTTATTTTAAGAAAATGGTAAAAAGTAATTTTTTTTACTTTTAATCAAACTTTTGATTTTTTTAGATAAATGATTTGAAAAGCTGATAAAAAGTTATTTTTAATGTTTTTGATTAATATTTATTTATGATGTCAAATCACAAAAAAATGACCAAATTACCCATATTAATTTAAAATATTTACAACTTCACTCATGCAGCGCCTATTGTATACATGAGAGGTAAAATTGTAATTTTACTAGTAATTAAAAACTAACTTCCCAAGTAAAAAAAAATATAAAAAAATTAACTTTTAACTTTTATTACAAATCAAAAAAAAGTTATTGGCAAGAGCTAAATGGGGCTTTTTTTGGCAATTTTAGTCACAAAAGACAAAATAGACTATTTTAGCCACAAAAAGCAAAATATCACATCCAACCCATAATCATTACATTCTTCTCTCACAAAAAAAATCAAAAAAACTAAAAAGCTAAAAAGCTCTTCCCAAATCAAACTTTTTAGCCGAGGCTAAAATAGCTAAAAAAATCAAAAAATTAAAAAGCCAATCCACTTCTCAAACGGAGGCTAAAAGCCAACTTTCCAAAATAGCTCACAATGAGAGATGTTTCACGAACGAGGCATGAGGTTCACTCGTAGGATTCATCATTTGTGGGATATTTGTGATTAATTTAGGTTTATTTTTTGTGTTTTTAGTACTGTTGAATGATAAAATTTTAAGACAAGTTTGTGTCGTGTTTTAATTTTATATTTTTATTAATTAAGGGCCCATTTGACAATATTATAAATAAATTGTTTATCTTATTAACTTATTTGAATCATGTTAATTTTTTATTTTTTTACACTTCTTTTTATAACAAATTTAAAAATTAATTTAAAAATAATAACAAAAAATGTATATATATATGTATATATTTTTTTGAGTTTTTGCAAAATAATTTTAAAAATGTGAAGTGATAAATGGTGTGAGATATTATTTCAAAGTCACCGAATTGTTAGAGTACATATGAAGGTAGAATCTCACATTGGATAAATGATAAAATATATTAGCTTAATATACATTAGATGAACTCTCCACTTATAAGCTTAAGCTTTTAAGTGGATATGAGTTCCATATAATGTATGTTCGACCGTGATATGACTTTTGTGGACTTTATAATTTCTTCTTAATAGATTGGGTCAGTATTGCTGTGCCCTTGTGAGCTCTCTAATTCTTTAACAATTCGTATCAAAGTTGATAATAGACGATCTATGGGCAGACTCTCCTGGAACATTGTTTATTGACTTCTAAAATCAATAGGCATCTCTCAAAGATATTTCATGGGTCCATCCTCTCAAAATAATCCATACAACATACTATCTCAAATGTCCAACAAAAAAATAAAAATAAAATAGTACCATTAGTCTATTACAACATGGAACAATAGTTGTTCAAATAAAACATATAACATCAATAAAACAACATTGTTTTCCTAAAAAAATGATATAACCACAACTTTCATCGTCTCCTTCAACTTAAATTCTTGTTAAATAACAAAAGAAAAAAAAAATCAATACTAATAATAAGATGCAAAAAATGTTAACAATTAAAACAAAAAAGATGGCAACTAACACAAAAGTACGACACGACTCATCCAAGTCAATCTC